ATAGCACTCAAGCAGTGCTAAGCTCCCATGCGGAGGGGTCAGAAAAACATAATTGGCCAACGCACGAGCTGTCAGGGCGAAGATGCGTTTCTTGCATAGATTCACGCAGTTTTGCCGCTACCGGCATCGGTTTTTTCGGCAAATCCTTTTAACTAAAACAATTAAGACTGATCGCCAAAACTGGCAGGAAGCACCCCCTTAAAATTTCAGCTTTCTAGCTTTCCTGGCTCCTGAGTTAGCAACTTACTGGTAATTCTTCACGAGACCGCACGCGGGTACCACGCATACCCGATGTCGGGTTTGAGATCGTTGAGACTAATGTGGGCGGGGAATATCCTCTTAATATTACAGTCTTCTGGCATCTCAGATCCCCGAGTTATGAATTTGCCGGGGAAAAAATTTGGCGGGCCCGTACGCAGGTCCCATGGTTACCCGGGAGCTGAGTTTGAGCCCATTAAAACCTATTTGGGCGGAAAACATCCCCTTAAAATTTCAGCTTTCTAGCATCTCAGATCCCCGAGTTATGAACGTACTAAGGAAAAATTTTGGCAGCTCGTATGCGAGTACCACGTTTACCCGGGGGCTGGGTTTAAGCTCTTTAGTACATACTTTGATGGGGAATATTTTCTTAAAATTTCAGCTTTCTAGCTTTTCTGGTTCGCGAGTTAGCAGCTTACTCGTAAAAAACTTTGGCAGGCTCTTACGTGGGTACCACATGGGAAAGACCGCCCATTTTGGGGGCAGGGGACCGTACGTGCATACAGATTAAATCCCCAAAGTTTCAGCCTTGTAGGTTTTGTAAGTCTCGAGATGAAAAATCGCTACAGAGGCCCTGCGCACACACACACACACACACACACACACACAGACAACCTCTCGTCAATATTCGTTTCCCGCATTGCATAGCTGCAAAAAACGCATAAAAAATGCCTTACTTCAGCATCAATTCCACATCGGCCACGGTTTCGCATTCCTCCTCCGCTAACAGAATCATTGCTGGAGCGCAGTCCGGATTGATTTCCAGGGCTTTATAGGCCGCATTGATTCGTGAGTAACTGTCACGCTCGCGCCACGCCACTTGCATTACTAAATTACTCAACAATATGTTATATTGCGACCACAAAACAATCATCCTCAGCCAGAACCGCTCCTCCGTGGGCTCCCAAACACACGTACAAAACAGATAGATATAAAAAAGATATAAATATACATAGATATATAAATATATATAAATACGCACTCGTAATATACCTCTCAGATTTACATATCTGAGAGGAAGGCACGGTATGCTGTAGCAAAACTGACCAGCAATGGGGTCTTGGTTACATGTTGCGAATGTAGAGGGGTCCCCATCTAACGACTTGAGGTGGCCTATTGGCCAACAGTGGTGAGCGAGAAAAGTGATAAATATATATATATATATGTTTACGACCAGTATTGCAATATTGTAAATTTATCAGGCACAATCACCAGAGCGAATTCATGCTTTTAACTTTTCTCAGACAATTGCTGGCTGATAGCTTACGTGTTGCAACCGAAGGAAATGAAACGCTAGAAGAAATTACGCTTTTTCTTCAACACGCACATCAAATAGCAGTTTGAGAAGTATGATACACACAAAGGCACTACTTAAACGGTGAGACGTATGGGATGAAAAATGTCGAATTTCGATAATAATGCCATTGGCAAAAGGCTGAAAGCCACCCAGAAATGCATGGGAGTAAAACTGACGTTTTGAATCATGTTCAGGACAGATACGTTTCTTCTGTTTCAGAAGAAACAGAGGTTCAACTCCCGAACAGTATGTCTAAAAACAAGGCTATGCAGTGGACGATCAACTCACTTTCATAGTCTTGCTTGCCAGTATCTCCTTCGCAAGTGAAAAAATTCTGATGATCCTGTGCTGAAAGATTCATGTCGTAATAGGTCAGCGGCTCCTTGCCTGTTGCTTTTGTAAACCGCTGATATTCGGCACCACGGAATAGAGCCGTTGGATTACGCCAAACTTTGCACTCTAAATTCACTCAGCACTGTTTGTAAAAAAAGCAAAATTATTTGATCGGAAAGTGAGAATCACAAACAGGAACCCAGGAGGAAATACGTACCGGGCACAGTTCGACTGTTTGACTCGGTGCCCCCATCATCATTATCACTGTTATCTTCGCTGCCCGTCCCATTATCGCCGGAATTGCTGGAAATGAGTATTCAGTACACGGAACGACATGAGACTACTGCGGACTGTAGTTATTGCAAAATTAATGATAATAATGATTGATAGTAATAATAATGATAATGATAACAATGATGATGATAATAATAATGATAGTAATAATGATGACAGTAACAGTGATAATAATAATAACAATAATGATAATAGTAATAGTAACTGCTATAAATGCTATTAGTTTTGTTGCTGTTTCATAAATCACATGAAAAACAAGGTTTTTTTTTCGGCAAAAAAATACTGAAATGCCAAACCTGTGAGTACTTAACTTACATTGCTATGCGGAGCTTTTTTTTTCGAAGTAGCCCGTAACTTCCCAACCCCACGATTTTAAACACGCTTCAGAAGGCCACGAGCTCTACAGTTCCTGACAAACTGCGTGGGAAAAACACAGGCACAAACCGATACACATACACACACAGACATAAGCATAGACACATACATACAAACAAATATACAGACACAAACAGACAAACATACCCACACGAACACACACAGACACACACACACACAGTTACGCTGGTACTCCTAGCAGGCACTCAAACCATTTTCAACTTTCATTTCAAACAGTGGTCAGAGTGGCAACCACGGGTTGCAGAAAATGAACAATTTCCGTTTTTTATTTAAAAAATGACCGAGCTGTTCAGTGAGCAATTTTTCCGCCAAACTCTTTATGTGTTTGTATGTGAGAATCCGGTTGAATTTAACAACATTCATCCTGGCCGTAAGTAGTTCTTTAGCCTCCAGAAAGTGGCATGGAAGACGATGGTGCTGATGAGGAGTTTTATTCCGAAACAGAGCCAGTTCCCACTGCCCGAATTGTTAACTGTTAAATCGAACACACAAAACATTTCCCTACAAATGTGGGTAAATTGATTACTTTTTGAAATACCACCACTCGAATATCAGTATGATGCCGGAGACCAAACTTGACGTACCGGTCAGCGCCACGTAGAATTTCGGTGTCAAATTGTTGAAATAGCTCGAAGCTGAAACACACAACACAACATAACATATTCTCAGGCAAAATTTCCTTCTAATCCAACAATTATGTGTAAATTCTGACCAGGCAACAGTGACCAATGCACTGGTCAGGAGCACTTTCAGTAGGCGAATTCCCCATTTATGAAGCTAAGAGCAAACAAATTCGACTGGACTTACAGAAAAATCCCACACAATTCCAATGTGTTGCCTTCGTCAGCCTGCGACTGCACACAACACTTACACCTCTGTTCACGCCTGTACCATCCACTCCACTTATAGTATTTGCATCGCCTCTCTTCCCCTCTCATTCCTCCTTTTCTGCCATTCAGCATATGCGCTTCAGTAGAAGAGGGCTGTACCGATGATTCACAATCCGTCCAAGTGTGGTTGATGCCTGCGTTTACAGCTAAGGGATGAAACATTGGCAGAATGGCTTTTCGAGTTAGCTCCACAACCATCTTCCTTTTCTTACCTCACGTCTTTTCTTCCAAATTTCTCAATACGCCTGTTATCTTTCCAATTACAGCTGCAATTTTTATGCGTTTTTGCATCGCACAAAAAATGGCCACTAAAGACTCATGTCTGCTCATTTGTGTGTGTGTGTGTGTGTGTGTCCCAATGATTCATTTTGAAAAATTAAATTAGCTCAAACAGACATAAGAAACCCACCACTTTCCAATGACTCGGAAATGTGCAACGGACCACGAAGTATGTAGACCAATGCAATGACCAACAGGAACCACAGGGCCCACAGATAGGTCCAGGACCAGGTCACCCACGATCTTAATCTGTTGATCATCACCATACACCTGAAACAATCACGTAACAGTCACACATCAACCACATACGTACTAGCATACCCAACCAACGAAAAGGAAGGGCAATTTAGTGGGCAGTTACAAAAACTCGGTTTGGCTCGTCTCATACACAAACCGCAATAAATTTTTTCTCCTGACGGCAGGTAGAGTTGTCCCACAACGGATGGTGGCAGTTTGAACGTGGCAGGTGGGGATGGGGGTGGTATGTGGCGGGTTTCGTTCGAGACAAGGGAGGGGACTAGGATAGGTGGATATAAGGACTACATGGCGTAGGTCCTTTGCTATTTGACTAAGTAACGTACATCTGGAGGAGAGAGGGGAGCAGTGAAGAACGGAAAGGATGAGGAATTGTGCTTTTGGGACTCCCCCTTTTATGAAACTGATACTTAGGCAAAGCTGTCCCACAAAAGCCCGTCATTAGGCTTCCCTATTTATGAAACTGATGCTTAGGTAAAGCTGAGAGTGAATAAGTTCCATAAAGTGGGCTAAAACAGGGTAGAATGATTGCCTGGGAATGAAATCAGCCTTTGCTTCTGTGAGATTTTAAAAACAAAAAAAACAAAAGTATAACTATTGTGCACAGTTACAGGCTGCAAGAGGCAACACTGTGGACTTGTCTGCAATTCTTGTGTAATCCAATTGGGCTTATTTGCCCTCAGCTTCACCTAACTATAAACCTCATAAATTCGGGGAGCGTTTACTGAAGGCGGATTTTTGTACGACAAATCCTACTCACATAAGCTCAGTTCCTGTTTGCTTTTGCTTTTGGTTACAGGCTCCAATTCTCTGATTTTGCTTTTTTTTCCTCTTATTCACAAATTCAGGATTGTTTTAATTTACTTTCCTTTGTAGTGCCGTGTTGGTTTGTTTTCTCCTTTCTGTCTGCAGTTCTTGCCTCGTACTCTTGACTAGCACCCTTCTTCCCCTCCTGTATCTTGCCC